TCTGCAGTGTCAGTTGTTACTTCTCCTTTTTCATTTCTGATTCTGTTGATTTGAGTCTTCTCCCTTTTTTTCTTGATGAGTCTGGCTAATGGTTTATCTATTTTGTTTATCTTCTCAAAGAATCAGCTTTTAGTTTTATTGATCTTTGCTATTGTTTCCTTCATTTCTTTTTCATTTATTTCTGATCTGATCTTTATGATTTCTTTCCTTCTGCTAACTTGGGGTTTTTTTTGTTCTTTCTCTAATTGCTTTAGGTGTAAGGTTAGGTTGTTTATTGAGCTCTTTCTTATTTCTTGAGGTAGGATTGTATTGCTATGAACTTCCCTCTTAGGACTGCTTTTGCTGCATCCCATAGGTTTTGGGTCGTTGTGTTTTCATTGTCATTTGTTTCTAGGTATTTTTTGATTTCCTCTTGATTTCTTCAGTGATCTCTTGGTTATTTAGTAGCATATTGTTTAGCCTCCATGTGTTTGTGTTTTTTATAGTTTTTTTCCTATAATTGATATCTAGTCTCATGGCATTGTGGTCAGAAAAGATACTTGATACAATTTCAGTTTTCTTAAATTTACCAAGGCTTGATTTGTGAACCCAGTTATGATCTATCCTGGAGAATGTTCCATGAGCACTTGAGAAGAAAGTTTATTCTGTTTTTGGATGGAGTGTCCTATAAATATCAATTAAGTCCATCTTGTTTAATGTATCATTTAAAGCTTGTGTTTCTGAATTTATTTTCATTTTGGATGATCTGTCCATTGGTTAAAGTGGGGTGTTAAAGTCCCCTACTATGATTGCATTACTGTCAGTTTCCCCTTTTATGGCTGTTAGCATTTGCCTTATGCATTGAGTTGCTCCTATGTTGGGTGCATAAATATTTACAATTGTTATATCTTCTTCTTGGATTGATCCGTTGATCATTATGTAGTGTCCTTCTTTGTCTCTTGTGATAGTCTTTATTTTAAAGTCTATTTTGTCTGATATGAGAATTGCTACTCCAGCTTTTTTTTTGATTTCCATTTACATGGAATATCTTTTTCCATCCCTCACTTTCAGTCTGTATGTGTCCCCAGGTCTGAAGTGGGTCTCTTGTAGAGAGCATATATATGGGCCTTGTTTTTGTATCCATTTGGCCAGTCCATGTCTTTTGGTTGGAGCATTTAATCCATTTACATTTAAAGTAATTATCTATATGTATGTTCCTATTACCATTTTCTTAATTATTTTGGGTTTGTTATTGTAGGTCTTTTCCTTCTCTTGTGTTTCCTGCCTAGAGAAGTTCCTTTAGCATTTGTTGTAAAGCTGGTTTAGTAGTGCTGAATTCTCTTAGCTTTAGCTTGTCTGTAAAGTTTTTTTTTTTTTTATTTAACATCTTTATTGGGGCATAATTGCTTTACAATGGTGTGTTAGTTTCTGCTTTATAACAGAGTGAATCAGTTATACATATACATATGTTCCCATATCTCTTCCCTCTTTGTCTCCCTCCATCGCACCCTCCAGACAGCCACAAAGAACCGAGCCAATTTCCCTGTGCACCACCAGGGAAGCCCTGTAAAGTTTTTAATTTCTCCACGGAACCTGAATGAGATCCTTGCTGGGTAGAGTAATCTTGGTTGTAGCTTTTTCCCTTTCATCACTTTAAATATGTCCTGCCATTCCCTTCTGGCTTGTAGAGTTTCTGCTGAAAGATCAGCTCTTACCTTTATGGGGATTCCCTTGTATGTTATTTATTGCTTTTCCCTTGCTGCTCTTAATATTTTTTCTTTGTATTTAATTTTTCATAGTTTGATTAACGTGTCTTGGCCTGTTTCTCCTTGGATTTATCCTGTATGGGACTCTCTGTGCTTCCTGGACTTGATTAACTCTTTCCTTTCCCATGTTAGGGAAGTTTTCAATTATAATCTCTTCAAATATTTTCTCAGACCCTTTCTTTTTCTCTTCTTCTTCTGGGACCCCTATAATTTGAATGTTAATGTTGTCCCAGAGGTCTCTGAGACTGTCCTCAATTCTTTTAATTTTTTTTTCTTTATTCTGCTCTGCAGTAGTTATTTCCCCTATTTTATCTTCCAGGTCACTTACCCATTCTTTTGCCTCAGTTATTCTGCTATTGAGTCCTTTTAGAGAATTTTTAATTTCATTTATTGTGTTGTTCTTCATTGTTTGTTTGCTCTTTAGTTCTTCTAGGTCCTTGTTAAACCTTTCTTGTATTTTCTCCATTCTGTTTCCAAGATTTTGGATCATCTTTACTACCATTACTCTGAATTCTTTTTCAGGTAGGCTGCCTGTTTCCTCTGCATTTGTTAAGTCTGGTGGGTTTTTACCTTGCTCCTTCATCTGCTGTTTGCTTCTCTGTCTTCTCGTTTTGTTTAACTTACTGTGTTTGGGGTCTCCTCCTTTTCACAGGCTGCAGGTGTGTAGGTCCCATTGTTTTTGATGTCTTCCCCCAGTGGGTGAGGTTGGTTCAGTGGCTTGTGTAGGCTTCCTGGTGAAGGGGACTGGTGCCTGTGTTCTGGTGGATGAGGCTGGATCTTGTCTTTCTGGTGGGCAGGGCTACGTCTGGTGGTGTGTTTTGGTGTGTCTGTGAACTCAGTATGCTTTTAGACAGCCTCTCTGCTAATGGGTAGGGTTGTGTTCCTGTCTTGCTAGTTGTTTGGCGTGGGGTGTTCAGCACTGTAGCTTGCTGGTCGTTGAGTGGAGCTGGGTCCTAGCGTTGAGATGGAGATCTCTGGGAGAGGTCTCACCGATTGATATTATGTGAGTCCAGGAGGTCTCTGGTGGCCCAGTGTCCTGAACTTGGCTCTCCCACCTCAGAGGCTCAGGCCTGATACCAGGCAGGAGCATCTAGACCCTGTCAGCCACACGGCTTAGAAGAAAAGGGAGAAAAAAGAAAGAAAGGAAGGGAGGGAGGGAGGAAGGAAAATAAAATTATTAACATAAACAATAATAATAATTTTTTAAAAAGGAAGACAGCAACAAATCCAATAAATAAATTTACCAGTGATAACAAGCGCTAAAAACTAAACTAATATAAACATAAAAATCAGAAACAAGTCAGTTGTAGACAGCAGACCCCAAGTCTACAGTTGCTCCCAAAGTCCACCTCCTCAATTTGGGATGATTCGTTGTCTATTCAGGTATTCTACAGATGCAGGGTGTATCAAGTTGACTGTGGAGATTTAATCCGCTGCTCCTGAGACTGCTGGGAGAGATTTCCCTTTCTCTTCTTTGTTCTCACAGCTCCCAGGGGCTCAGCTTTGGATTTGGACCCGCCTCTGTGTGTAGGTTGCCTTTAGGCATCTTTAGGGCGGTCTGAGGTCTTCTGCCACCATTCAGTAGGTGTTCTGAGGAGTTGTTCCACATGTAGACACATTTCTGATGTATTTGTGGGGAGGATGGTGATCTGCATGTCTTACTCCTCCACCATCTTGAAGGTCCCCCCAGGACTGTATCCTTTTAGACTATGTCTGTTTAAACCCATTTTACCACATTTTTGGTTAAAACCATTCTGTGGTAATAAGGTAGTTAAACCACATTGTAATAGGAATCTCTTGATTCCTTTGCCATTCTTCATTATTTGGGTCTGTGGGACATTTCTGTCTCAGAATCTTACAGCTGACGTGACTTCCTGCCGTTCCTGGCCTTCTCCTTGCTGCCTGAGAACAGCAGTACCCTCACCACTCCCCTTAGTTGCTTTGTCCGCTAACCATTTAACCAGAGCACTAGGGCAGACTGTGAGAATTTTTTTAAAAATTCTTATTTTAACTAATATAAGCTACCTTATTTTAACTAAACTTTAAATTTCTAGGGTGAAAAAATTGTGGCCAGGATTAAGTAATTCCAGAATGAAAATGAACATTTTATGTTAATCCCCAGATCTTCATGTCTGCTGTTCAAGCATCATTTAAGTCTTTCTTGTGTTATCCTTTGCCTCTCATGCAATGGAGGCTTAAAGATACTTCACCGTCCTTATGAGTGGAGAAACCTCAGAACATTTATAATATTTTTCATAATGTAAGTGATACAAGTGTCAGATGCCACAGATTAATAATATAAAACTAACCAAGTGCCAGTAGTACATGTGCGTGTAAAACATATCACTGGTTTATGCCTGGGATTGGTCAGCAAAATAATCACCTAAGGATATTTTTCAAAACCCCAAGATTCTGCTGTGCTGTGTATGTAGGAACAGGACAGAGATGGGGCAAAACAGGTGGTGGACGAGATACACTCCAGGTACTGTTTTGAAAAGGATCTCCAGGTGCTCTTGGTAGCGTCTCTTTCCCACCCCAATCTCTTCTTTCAGAATGCTGAAAAATACTGCTTAAAACAACCTCAGAGGCAAGTCAAGTCAGCATGCGTTTACCTGAACAGTATTCATGTTCATAACCGTAGTTCTGATCATTCAGTCAATACATATACCAGGAATTGTGAAAGTTCTATTTATTTTGTTGTTAAATGGTTAGAATTATCTGGTGCTCTGTTATGCTTTAGAACATAACAGTTTAGATGAGTGTTTTATTTTACTGGATGAAGTTAATATTAACCTCAAAAATAGTAACGTTTGACATTTCTTGAATGCTTACTGCGTCAGAGGCTGTGCTAATAAGTCTGTGTTAATTTAATTTAATGTTTGCAGCAATGCCATGAGGCAGATATTGAGAAAACTGAGGCCTGCGGAGAGGACACAGCCTCACGGGCCAAGGCTCGCCTGGCAGCAGCCTCATGCAGACCCTCACAGAGGCTGTGACCTTTACCGCCGCACTGTTTTGTTTCTTGTTAATGAAGTTAGTCTGTGCCGTACATTTGTCATTTAACTAATAAGCTGCCATTTGCGGAGTACCTGCTATTTCAGTGGTTTGAGAATTTTCTTGTCATGTATCTGTATGTGTGTACACACATATGTGTGTAATTTATATGAGTGTCTGCTATTAATATTTTTGTTGTAAGTAAAAATTAAATATTTGAAGTAAATGAAAATTAACATATTTGACACTTTTTAATTTCAGTTTATCGATGGTCGACTGGCAAAACTAAATGCAGGAAAGGGTTTCTCTGATGTATTTGAAGAAGAGATCACTTCAGGTGGCTTTTGTGGAGGTAAAGACTAGTTCCAGTGAGATTATCCATTTTCTGAATAACAGTTATCTTGATATTTGCACTTGTGTCTCATATAATCTACTTCATAAGCAACTATTTTCTCCTAAATATTTAATCTTAGATACATTTTTTCAATCTTATAAGAACTATAGTATTAAGTTACTTTGCCTGGTAAGTTATTCAAGGCTGAAGGTGGTCTCATGAGTTGGTAGTGGTTTGCTTGGATAGACTCTTAATATTACTGGAGATGAATATCATAGAAATGCAATTAGTTTGTATTTTCCAGCCTCCTGACTAGTTTTCTCCACTAGAAAACTACTAGTGATATCTACTACTAAGAATTAAAGAAGTGAGATTGTTGTTGGTATAGTAGATTTTAATGTAGTCCAGAAAGAAAGGTTTGAACAACACAGCTGCTTCTGTAGTAAGAGTGTCATTGTAGAAGTCTACCCTTTTTTGCTTTGCAGACCCTGCAGCATTAGGAACAGACTTTTCAGTTTACTGTCCCATGTTCTCACACTTGTCACACACTTGTTAATAAGTGCTCACTTAAAGCAGTGGAAGAAGGCGTCTTACTTTGTATGTGTGACACACAGGTGATACCCCATTTTTATTTAATATAATTAACTGTAATATAATTGAGCAGTTACATTGTTTGAAATGTAAATAATTCAGACAGTGTTACAGTACTTAGGAAGTTAATGACTTAGGGACTGGTACTCGGTACATAATGTTCCAGTATGTAGTCCTGATTCTGGCAGAGAATTTTGCTTGAGACCTTGAAACATCCTCTTCATTCTTTCAGCCAGTATTTGCTGGGTGTTTCCAGTGTACCAGCTGCTGTTCTAGATTTGGGATGGACTAAACACATAATCCCTGGTGTGTTCACTTTCACCTGGTGTGATAATAGTTTTTCCACTTATATGTAGGTTTAATTTAGGAAAGAAAAAAACCTTTAGTCTGTCTGTGAATAAATAGTTGCTAGCATTGAGAAATAAAATGTGAAAAAACAAAGAGTAATAAGTCCTCATCTACAGACTTCCCCAAATTTAATTTTAATCTTGAATAAGATTTACTTTTGCACCACAAAAATATAAAAACCATTGAGATCATTTGTTCATTATAAGAGGTACAGATGAACTGAGCAGTTACGGACCTTTCTCTGATGTAAGCATAGCATTTCACTGAAAGCTTTCAGCTTTGGGAAAAACTTAGTTTCCTCGACTCAGCAAGTGAGCTGAATGTGGAATCGTTCAGCTCCTCGCTCTCCTCAGCTTATGGATAAAAATTTAACTTCAATGGAACTTTTGTGTTAAAATAAGGCTTTTTTACTTTTCAACTCAGACAAGCGAAATATTGTCAGCTCGTGGACGGATTGCTTGAGGCGCCTACTCAGCATTTACATACCTGCCGTCTCATTATCGCTATGACCTGTGGGGCTAGTATCTTATATGGGATTGAGGATGACATCGTGTGACAGTAATGGGGTGGAACTATGATCCTTTTGTGTAGTGAAATTCTGTAGTCTTCACCATTGGTCCACAGACCCTCTGTAACAGAGTAGAGGGTAGGTGGCTTTTCTGGTGGGAGGAGGGTCACCAGATTTTTTCACGGAAGGCCCTGCTGTTTAAAAAAGAACAGAAGAATATTTATCACCAGGTAGCATCTGATTTAGAGACTGCTGCATTTTCAGTACAACTTAATGCCAACCACTTTGTTGTTCCTTCTTAAAATGAAAAAGGTTTTGAACTCTTATTTTACTTTAAGGAGCCAATACTGATCCAAAAGGAAAGCATCATTTAACAAGTATTCATTTCAGTAGGTACAGCAAGAAAGTACATTAGAAAATGATGCCTGGCTGTCAAATGTTATTCTTTTAATTATTATATTTTAGGTTATTATCTTAGAGATACATAGAGATTCTTCTTAGAAGAAAATAAAGCAAAATCATTAGAATTTGAAATAAAAAGACTAATAATCTTTTAAAAATTAGCATTGTTCTTACTAATGAGATATATGTGTATGTATAGTTCCAAAAATAGTTCCTAGAAGTCTGCTGCAAACATTTGTCATCTAGACTACATTTGTGAGAGAGAATACGTCTGAGATACCGAACTGGGGTTCAGAAAGTAAACTGTTATAATTTGCTCGTTTCTCTCATAGTTACAGTAAAAATTATGATAAATGTTCATACTTACTGAATGTTAGTATGTGGTGGAAGCTCTTGTAAGAGCTCTCCAAGCATTATCTCACTTAACCCTCACAGCACCCTGTGAGGGACTTTGAGTAGGTTTTTTTTTTTTTGTTTTTTTTTTGGTGTAGCCTTATTTTTATGAGGGTACCCACCTCGATAATTTGCCCAAGGTCACACGTGACGGCCTGGCTTCAGAGCTCCTGCTTTAATAACTGTGATCTATTGCCTTCTTATGATAAGAGATCTTCTCAATTAGAAGACCTTCAGTAAACAAGAGCAGTACTCAAGCCTTCTCTGCTCTGATGGATAAAAGCAAAATTCCTGTCTCTTTTGAATATCCTTTGAAGATTTTTTAATATATAAAACCTTCAGAAAGATCACTGTAGGAGAAATCAACATTCCCTGAAGCTAAAGAAAAAATCATATGTTCCTTTAAGCAAAAATAGGAAATTTTAGACAAGCATCTCATCTCTCCTCTTTCTGTTCCATTACAGTGGCAGTTTATATACTATTTTTGTTGCTAATATGCATGGTTATGATAAAATGAATATGAGTATAGTGGAGCTGTGTAATTGCTGTGGCTGCTGTGCAGCACATCACATGTAGAACATCTAGATTCACATTGGGTCTAGAACTGTGGTTAACAGCTGTGAATGGGTGTGGATTTTCCAAAACGCTTCTCTGTCCTGTGAATCCCTGTGGTCAGAACTGTTAAGGAAATCCATGTTACCCCTGATCCCTTTCATGGGAGACTTGTAGAACATTCAACCTTATCTTAAGAGGAAAGTAAAAAGAATATCAGAAAATGTGTAGAGGGAAGACTATCATAGAGGTTAAAAGGTCATCAAAGAGACCACAGATAGGACAAAGCATGCAATTAGATAAACACAAATATCGGTCTGTGAAAAAGCAACTGAGGAATATTGAGTAGTTAAGAACATGTTTTTTTTCCCCCATAATTTTTAAAAATTGAGTTACAATGTTATATCAGTTTCAGGTATATAACATAGTGATTTGGTATTTTTCTAGATTATGCTCCATTTAAAGTTATTACTAGATATTGGCTGTATATTATACTGTGCTGTACATTACATCCTAGTATTTTGTTTATTTTACAATGTACCTAGTAGTTTGTACCTCTATTTTTTTTCATTTAAAATAAGACTAGTTATTAAAAATCCACATCCAGTTTTCTGAACTTTAAAAAGGAGACACATTTTCAGATTGACTTTATATAGAACTGTGTGGTTACTCTCCATTAATAGCATTGGTTTCTTCATTAGTTTCCCAGCATAATCTGATCAGTCTTGTATTGATTTAATCCTATTTCTTTTTTTACTGACTGGTTACCAAAGAAATTTGAAGGGGTGGTAGGTAAGTAATCATTAGTTTTAGTGACATTTTTCTGGCCTCACTGAACAATTTAGAACAATTTACATTTTTTGATAAGTGACTGCAGGTTACTGGAATTTAAGCAAATATATTTGAAGAGAAAGTCTTTGCACAAGTGAGAAAGATATTTTGTCCTTGAATGCGAGAAAATCACTTGTTTAACAAGTACAATGTTAAGAATTTCCTCAATGATGCTTATTATTTCCATAATCCAGTTACTTTAAAAGAAAGACTGAGGGTTGTTTTTTTTGGGGCATTTAGATTTATTTTTTGAGAAGAAAAACAGCCTTTTTTTAAAAAAAACACACATTATCAGAGAATAATGTGCTTGTCTCATAAACTTTGTGGAAATAGGAGCCTTCAGACTTAAAAGCACTAGAGTTGAAAGAGACAATTAGCCTTTAAAAATTTTTTTACCGGGAATCTACCTAAATTGTACTACATGTTTTCCTATTAAGCTGTTACTTAGGGACTTCCTGTTTGTCCCTATACCACATGATTCCACATTATTATTGCGGGTGGTTCTGACTATCAGCTGTTTCTCCTCTAGGTATCAGCTTTGAGCAGCCCCCTTTCCTTTCTAATATAATCGCTTTGAAGTCATTCAGAGGAAATCTCTATATAACTTAACTTTTCTCATATTTTATTTATCCTTCCATCTTAAAAGTTGAAGGACTAATGAACCAAGAATTAAAATACCTAGATTCTTATTCTTTCTCAATTGCAATCTTTGTGAACTTGGGCAGGTAATCACATCAGAACCTCAGTTTCCTCATTTGGCAAGTTATTTGTCAGAATAACTAAGTTGATGGTGTGCTGTCACGTGCTACACGTTGCAGCAGCCAGGTTACAGACCTAGTCCCAGTGGCATGGTTCACAAGGGCAGAGTGGCCTGACCCACAGACTCACTGGACTGCAAAGCCTACTTCCTTCCCATCCAACTGCTCTGCCTGTGGCACCACCTGCTTGGCCTATTTAACAGTAGAAAGATGCAACTCAAGTAATATAACGCAGTCAAAAACATTTTGCAACCTGTAAAGAGCTGAATACATATGAGCTATTTTTATTCCTCACAACCTTCTCCAAGAACTGGCCTTTCTGTAACTGCCCTGAAGTTTTATGATAGTTACTTTCTTTGTGGTTCAGAGGTTTAAAAAATATATTTTCTGGAATGACAAGTGTTCCAGAATGCTAAATAGTTATATCATATAGTAGTTGGTGTTTCTCTTTCCACTTTCTTTTTTTTTTTTTTTTTTTTTTTTTTTTTGCGGTACGCGGGCCTCTCACTGTTGTGGCCTCTCCCGTTGCGGAGCACAGGCTCCCGACGCGCAGGCTCAGCGGCCACGGGTCATGAGCCCAGCCGCTCCACGGCATGTGGGATCTTCCCAGACCGGGGCACAAACCTGTGTCCCCTGCATCAGCAGGCGGACTCTCAACCAGTGCGCCACCAGGGAAGCCCCTCTTTCCACTTTCTAACTTCATTTTGGGGAATGAATTGAAACACTTGCCAGAATACTATGAATAATAACCAAGTTTTAAATATGTGATTTCCACACAACCATTTTTAGTAGAGAAGTAAAAAGTATATGAACTGATGAGAATTTTTAATAGAGAAGTAAAAGTATGTGAATAATCTGGATAAAGACATAGTGTTTATTTTCTGTTAATAAAATCTCCTTGAGAAATAAATTAATAGAATAACTTGGATTTTTTCATCATTTTACAAGGGAAATAAAAATTTAAAAATTTTGGTCAGGCTGTATACTATCTGAAACTCATGCCCTTTAAGCAATGCATAGGTTATTTTAGGTAGATACATTTTGCTATAGTCATTTCATAAGATTAGAAAAATACTGTTTTCCTCGTATTTCTTCTTCCAGAAAAGGTACAGTGTAGTGCTGAGTAGTAAGAGATGTTTTTCAGAATAGGGGTTGTTTCTTGATATTTCTTTGAAATTAGGGAGAGATTTTTAAGTATAGGAGTGAATCCAGAGCTGGAAATTTTTTGCCTGATGTTGATGAGGGATGCAAAGGTAACAGCTGGAAAGAAGTTCTTGGGCTAAGGATCATTCTGCCTCTGTGTTATAACAGCAAGGTGATGCATTTGTCAAAAAGCCACAGCTACACACAGGAGGAGAACACAGTCTACTTTAGGGATCCTTTGTACTGGGGTAGTCAGTCTCTGAGTAACCTTTGTTTTTTTTCTTGTGGGAGTATTGAAGCATTTAAACAACCAGGAAGGTAGATGAAATCTAACTAAAGTCAGCTGATATAAAACAGTACTTTAGTTGTGTGGCTTTCTTTTTTTTTTTTTTTTTTTTTCCTTTTTTTTTTTTCTTTTTAGAGAACTTCTGCTTATTTGCAACTATTTCTGGGCCACAGCCGTATTCCAACAGAGCACTTTGGTAACAGCCTCTGTTGTGGTCAACAACTCCATCTGCAGCTGGGGTTTCTTAAAAGAAGTGAGTAGCATTTGCCTTTTTTTTTTTTTTTTTTTTTTGCCTTCTTATATCATCTTATTGATTAAATTAATTACCATATTTGGAGCCAAATATATGATTACTGGTTTTACTAGGACTGGTTGTGTCAGCATTTGAACTTTCTGATAACCATGAGGAGATACTACCATATTTCCTGGCGTAGTACCTTTTCAGATTTGGGTTTACAACTAGAGAATATTTTTAGAACATTACTGCAGGTTAATTGCATCAAAGTAAAACTTGCTATCAATTAATACTAATGTCTGACAACTATAGAGGAATATTTTTGGTCCTCAAGGATCTTTGCACTTCTAAATTTCCTTCTAGTTTTTTCCTTTCCTTATACAATTTTTTTTTTAATTTTTAACATCTTTATTGGAGTATAATTGCTTTACAATGGTGTGTTAGTTTCTGCTTTATAACAAAGTGAATCAGTTATACATATACATATGTTCCCATATCTCTTCCCTCTTGCGTCTCCCTCCCTCCCACTCCTTATACACTTTAAATATTGTTTTAAATGAACCTAATTGTATAAAGGAGCCAAACTTTTACAAAACAACATAGACATAAATATTAAAAAATCAGTTTAAAAGATGTAGGAATTTTGGATTTCGAAAGAGAGGTTATTTTTTCCCTCTGAAAGTTGTGTTAAAATGAAAGAAGATAGAATACCTTAACATGTTATCTTCATATATGAGTAAACAAAAAGTAGTCTTAAAAGTGCTAGTTACTATTTTCCTAAGAATTAGAGCATTTATTAGTTCTTATGTTGAATTGCTTCTTTTACAATATTGCAGGTAAATAAAATTTGTCTACTAAAATCCTGAAAATGCTAGTTCTTGATGAATTTTGGTTTATGGATTTATTTTTGATCAGATATTCCTGACATCTTATTTTTATATATTTCAGGGAACTCGAGGTCATATCAGCAGTGGGTGCATACAGTCAAGGTAATAATAAACCATCACAGTTTCTTTTTTTTTCTTTCACTCTAACATATATGGGAAAATGTTCAGTTCAAGTATACTGTTTATGTTTATGCTGTTTATTGGGAATATTCAAAATGTTTCTATGTTTTCTCACATGTTAAATATTTTTATTTTATGCTTATGGTTTGTTGCTACTTATAAAGAAAATTTTAAAATAGAAAGCTTTTGTCTTTCTGTTTTCAAAATAAATGGCTTGATTTGAAAAGCAAGATTTTACTGTCACCTTATAATATATTCCAGAAGAAGGAGTTAGGCAGAGTGGTAGGATTTGATGGGAGTTTTATTATTTCTGGTAATGTGCTTTTGTTAATATGATTATTGAAAATATAAAACTCTCTGTCACAGATTGAGACTTTATTGCCAAACAGAGGAACAGATGCTTGTATTTCTTTTTTATTAAACTTTAAATATATACTGGTCGTATTGCCCAAGTCTGCCTAAACTGCAAAGATGAAGGGATTTTATTATGTCAATTAAAAGAACAGAGTAGAATGTCTACATTTTGTCTGAAATTACTGTAGCATATATAAAAGCTTGAAAACATCCAACATGAAATAATTTTGCAGGTCTTTTGTAGGTCTTTAAGCTGTGAGTAAAGCTCTTTTTCTATACTATTAATAATGCTTCGTTTTCAGAACAATCTGGCCAGAAATTTTTAGGACTGTGTTTCTGTCTTTCCTTTGCAGAAAGGAGGTGCACTACTCAACACAGCAATGACTAAAGCAACCCCCGCTGTGCGAACAGCATATAAATTTGTAAGTTCTCTTTGGTGTTTTAAAAGTTCTACTGGTAAAATTTTATAACATTTTCCTAGATGATAAACATGTAAATCCAAAATCTTTTCTATTTTCCTTTAAATAAGCTTTTAAAAAAATTTGGAGTTAATATTGACTGAAGCAAACTCAGTTATTAAAATTGTATCATTGTCCAGACAGGATATTTCCTTTGTATAATCTAAAAACGGCTCTTCATTTTATTTCAAAGCTATCAGCAAAATTGTGCCCTCAAATCGAAACAGCCCATGATGAAGAGCCATTTTTAAAGATTTGATTCTTTCATTTAACAACATATTTTAAATTCTCGTTGTGCACTTGAGGCTTAAGTAGAAAAACATTTTTAAAAATATGGCAAGTTCTCTTCCCTCAAAGATACTTTTTGACTCTCCCAAATTGGAATTCTTCAGTGATACCCCGTGGCTTGTAGTAAAATAATAATGATGATACCAACAGCAACCACAATAAATAAATAATTAACAACCTAAAAATCTCTTTGCTGTGATAACTGAGACGCTCCAGGAGCCGGCCCCTCCTGCATCCCGTCTCATCTCCCCGAACCCCCAGCCTTGGTGTTTCCAGACCCTGAGCTCTGCTCATTTCATGAATGCAGGGCACTCTCTTCTGCCTCTTTATTCTTCACAGGCCGTTCCTGCTGCTTTTGGGACATCCTTTTCTTGGCTTCTATCCACCTACTAAATTCATCCTATAGACGTAGTTTAGACATTAGTTCCCTTCAAAAAAAGAAGTCCCAGCGCCACACAAAAAGCGTTTATATAGCTCTTCTGTGCTTCCACAGGACCTGTGGACAGACCTCTGCTTCAACACTTGTTGTGTCTGTGCACCTGGTATCTATACAGGAGACCTGTAGGAGCTGGTGGGTTGGCACTCAGCAAGGCTTTCTTGGAAAATTCAATAGGTCATATGTATAGTCTGTATTTCTAAAAATATTCTGGGCATTAGTTTTGATTTTATAAGAATTTATCTTCACGTGCTTTCTCAGTAATGAATAGATGTGATTGAATTAATGATAGAATAATATGTTTTGATAACTTTAGAACTTATGTTCTTTCCCTGACTTACAATTTTGATATATATGTAGCCACCATTTCTGTTTAAAAAAATCTGTTTCAAAGGTTATGTTTTATAGTAGCGAGGCTAATCTACAGAGTGGTTTCAAAGATACGGAACCAAATCTCTGAACTATCTGAAGCCTTATCAGGAAGTAAAAGTAAGAAGAGGTGACGTTTTGTCTTAGAAGTGTCAGCCTCTGCCTTTGTTCAGAGCCTCGCTAGGAAAGCTCTCTGAGTAGATCGCCTTCTCACTCTAATTAATACTGGTGGTTTGATCTATATACAGTTTTTGAAGAGATGTTAATTTTTCACAATGAAATAGCACATAGCTGCCATGTAAAAAAAATCGAACTAATGTTGAGCCTCGTTTTCCACATTTAAGATTCTAAAAAGGTGTCACAGTCAAGTACCCTTCATTTTGATTCCTGAGAGAATGCTCAACATTTTCCTTCAGGCTTGGAGAGGTTATATTTTAGTTTTGCTAAATATGTGTTCTTCTCCTTAATTTCACTCATATCTTCCATAAAAGCCCAAAGATAAAGCAAACATGTTCAAAACCCCATTTGTTATTTAAATTTTTATCCTTCTAACCAGTATTTTATTTTGAACCCTGCTCAGCAGAACAGTAAAACATTTCAAAAATTTAAAATTCTGCTCTTTGGAAGGTTATTCCCTAAATTAATTTCAGGCGAATTAAGAGTATTTAGAATATACTTAATCACTTTTAACATTTGTCTTGTGATCAGGTTGAACATGAATCAAGAGGTTTGGGGCAAGTAGATAAGTCATTCTGTGACCTTCATGGTTGTACCTAAAACTCTTCTTTCTAGACTGCTCATATCCTGAAATATGAACTCTGAAATTCCTCCTTTGGCCACAGATTGCTATGAACAAAAATCCCAATTTCTCTTGTATGTTATAACAGGATTTATTTACCTTGAAGTTCTGTAGATAATACATTTTTTAAAACCCTGGGAACCATGTTTTTAACTGTTTTATCCATTCAGCAAATCACTATCATGATCTAGGCTTTGTACTGGTTATTGGAGCAGGGCAGGCACTGTGAGGAAGAGAGGGGCTGTCCCTGCTTTTATATTTGTATTGCTGTGTGACTCTCGGTGCTTTGGACGCACTACAGAGGTACCGAATATGTATTCATTGAAGGAAATAATGATTTTGTCCTATACTTGGAACATTTTTCTATCTTGTGTTTTTCCATGCTAATAAGGAGCCATAAAGAAAAGTCGAGTTGACATACATATCTTCTTATACATCTAAAAATAACAGCAAAGTGAATACATATTTGATTTGGCTAAAAGATTTTCTGAGTCAACTTTCTTGTTAGGTCTTTGCATTTTAAATTGTTAGCCAAAGCCGTATTTGCTGGGTGCTTTTCTGCAGAGAATACTTGTTCGTTGATAAGTTTCCACTTGATAAATTGAAAAGGATAGAGAGATCCTGTACCCCACCTTCCGGATGGTCTGAAAGAGGTCAGTGAAGGGGAGGTGGACAGCAGGCGTGTGAGTGAATCAGCACAAGGATGGCTGACCATGACTGACACCTCACTCAACTCTGTGCATTAGAAGCATCTGAACGATGAGTGTGAATCAGGTGGGTTTTGAAAGAATAGAGGATATTTAGGCAAACTAGAATATAGTCCAAATGTGAGTAAAGATAGATGCAAATCTGAGGAGATTAGAACAGGAACATTTTTGAGGGGGGTAATTATGCATTTTTACCTAACGGGAATGTAGGCATTAATATAGGCCCCTTGAAATAGATTCAGTGGCTTTACCACTAAAATAGTGCACGCGAAAATGCTCTATTGATTCTAAAGAACCATGGAAATATAATTTAGTGTTATGTGGCTTTTTAGATTATCTTTTGCTGTGTCTCATATATTTTGGTTTTGCCTCATTTACAATAACGAAATAACTGTTCAGTTCAGAACATTTCTTGAGCAGTTACTGTATGCCAGTTGCTTGCTGAGTACTTCGGATATTAACAGGTCCCTCTTCCCCTCCGTGAACTTGGGAAGACCCTACCTGGAAGTAACTTGGCTTCATCTGCATGACCTGAGTCTGTAGAATAAGACTCACAGTGCCGTTTCTTTCGTGAGGCTTAGATTCAGTGGATGTATTTTAAAAACCTTAGTTTCTCCTTCTTCTTGGGAACAAGTTTTACTTGGACCTGGATTTAAATCTAGGCTGTGGAGGCTTATACCCTCTGAGTCACTTTCCTTATTTGTGAAGTGTAATAATAATAGTACTAACCCCATAGCGTTGTGATGATTAAATGAGGTGGAGCATGCTCGGTACCCAGCGCACAAACGCCCAGGAAACACAAAATAAATATGAATTTCTTTTCACTTCTTTTGTGGGTGGGAATTTCCAGTGGGAATTGTGATTTTCTGAAAGTCCCCTGTGGTCTTCAGTTCACTCACGCTGCACGGGAAGCACAGCGGGACCTCACGGCCTCCGATGCTGGAGCCAGGTTCCCCTGGAACATGAACAGAGCCTTTAGATTGTTAAATGACTTGTAATTTTTTCCAGGAAAACTGTATATGACATAGACACAACAAGACTCGTGTCTGCCTATAAAAGCACTTTGTAAAGTTGCCTGAGTTTCTTCTTTTTTTTACATCTTTATTGGAGTATAATTGCTTTACAGTGGTGTGTCAGTTTCTGCTTTATAACAAAGTGAATCAGCTATACATATACATATGTTCCCATATCTCTTCCCTCTTGCGTCTCCCTCCCTCCCACCCTCCCTATCCCACCCCTCTGGGTGGTCACAAAGCACCGAGCTGATCTCCCTGTGCTGTGCGGCTGCTTCCCACCAGCTATCTATTTTACGCTTGGTAGTGTATGTATGTCCATGCCTCTCTCTCACTTTGTCCCAGCTTACCCTTCCCCCTCCCCGTATCCTCAAGTCCATTCTCTAGTAGGTCTGTGTCTTTATTCCTGTCTTACCCCTAGGTTCTTCTTGACATTTTTTTTTCTTAGATTCCATATATATGTGTTAGCATACGGTATTTGTCTTTCTCTTTCTGACTGACTTCACTCTGTATGGCAGACTCTAGGTCCATCCACCTCACTACAAATAACTCAATTTCGTTTCTTTTTATGGCTGAGTAATATTCCATTGTATATATGTGCCACGTCTTCTTTATCCATTCATCTGATGATGGACACTTAGATTGCCAACAAACAGATGAAAGAATGCTCAACATCATTAATCATTAGAGAAATGCAAAGCAAAACTACAATGAGGTATCATCTCACACTGGTCAGAATGGCCATCATCAAAAAATCTAGAAACAATAAGTGCTGGAGAGGGTGTGGAGAAAAGGAACACTCTTGCACTGCTGGTGGGAATGTGAATTAGTACAGCCACTATGGAGAACAGTATGGAGGTTCCTTAAAAAAACTACAAATAGAAGTACCATGTGACCCAGCAATCCCACTACTAGGCATATACCCTGAGAAAAACATAATTCAAAAAGAGTCATGTACCAAAATGTTCATTGCAGCTCTATTTACAATAGCCAGGAGATGGAAACAGCCTGAGTTTCTTAAAGTCCAGACATTTGCCCAAATAACCTGCTGCTCTGATGTGCTTTCTCTTTTCCTTGCCCATTTGTCAAAATTTCAGATTATGGCTGGGCGGTAGTCATCTGGTGGCCTCTTGTGTTTTTTAATAGTTTAGGAGGCAGAATAGGCTAACTGCTAGCCTTTGTATGATTCCTATGCAAACAGAGACTAATCATGCTTTCACCACCTCATTTAGGTGTAATAGTGTGTGGTATGTGTCCCTGAAAATAGAGCTTTAGATTATAATTTCTTCTTTATATAATATGAAGACTTAGTAATTTTCATCAAATGGGATCTCATGTACTTATTCCTTAAGTGTAATAGAAGCACGCTGAGCCTTAAACTGGTGTTATCATTTTCTAGGCAAAGAATCATGCAAAGCAGGGAATAAAGGAAGTGAAGAGTAAGCTGAGACACAAGGTACGTCCTGTGCTGCTTTTCATTCTACCTTGATTCTTACGTTAGTTTGAAGCTTATGCCTTACAAATCACACGAGATTTATGTTTCTAATGACTTTTGAAATATGCTTAGCCCTTTGTTCAAGAATGTATTTTTCATAACAAGCCCTCTGGCAACTATCTGCCATTCTATATGCACCCCCTGAATAATCTCTTTATTGTCTGCATATTTTATCACAGAGCTACCGAGATCTTCAAAGGTGCTTTAACAGGATGTATGTTTTCATAAAGTTGATTGCCTTGATATCACAATTGAAATTCTTGCTTCAAGCTGAGAATTTTTTTTTTTTTTTTTAAAAGATGATCTTTGGTGCAGAATTAAGGCAGGAATGCCATCGTTGGGCTTTATAGGATCTTTCCAATAGTAGCTACTTTAAATTGAAGAATGTTATTAATTTACAAAGGTGTATTTGAATCTGTGAATATTGCATATATGTGAATAGTTACGTTTATGTATATGTGTGTTCGATTTGATTACATATAATATCTTTGCAGATTTTATCAGTTGTTGTGTTTTGAATTTCTGCCTCTGGAGGGAAGAGACTACTTAAAACTTTCATTGTAGTAATGGAGAGTGAGCGATCTTCATATAAATTTTATTGAAATTGTTCAGAAGAGTCAGACTATTTTGGAATTTATTGATTCATAATATAGAAAAATGCATTTTCTTCCTAAATAGGTTTTTTTAAACTTATACCCCAAGTGTTATTTTGTTATTTGCATCTGTATCAGATACTTTATCTATTAAGCAAAAAAGTTTAGTACTAAAATGAGTATTTTAGAATAACCACTTGTATGCTTCTTCACGGGTAGGAAAATGAGGATGATTATGGGACTTGTTCTGGTTCTGTACAATATACGCCCGTCTACACGCTACACAGTGAAAAGGGAAGAAACCTAGCAAGGCGTAAGCTTGCCCAGGTGAGGTTGTTTACCCTCCCATCTCCCAGATTCTAAAGTCACGCAATTCCAATCAATTCTTCAGGAAAATTTGGAACCCATTGATTTTTTTATGGTGAGAAACCCTGCGTTGATGGTCAAGGAGTTGAGTAGGTGGCGTCTGGGCCACGTAAGAGGGTCCTGGGAGCCCAGGGTCCAGGTCCCAGTCTGTACACACGTCACTGGGTCATGTCCTCCTGGTGAGTGGAGAGAGACAGGGTATTGGGTGGTTGCCCGGGACTGGGGGTAGCTTATTGATGGCTTCCTTTACTACAAAAGTAAGATGAAACTCATACATGGGGATTTGACTGCTAAAGTAATCTGTAGAAATTAGAATATGAAGTAATGTATGTCTGTCTTTTTCTAAAGTTAGATATTTTATTTGCTATCAATAGTTAAAGCTTCTGCTTCTATCTAATGCTACTTGAAATATTGTCCTAAAGTAGGAAAGGGTCCAGGATCATAGCTGTATGTGTCTCTGATTTTGCATCATAAGTGTGTTGCTGCTTCTTTTAAGGAAGCAAAATTTGCATACGCCAAATCATACTTTAAGTGGTCTTAGAATTCCTTTTAAAAGGAATTCTCGAGTGGATTATAGTTGCAAAACCATGGAACTGGAAGCAGCTGCAAAGCTTCATTTATCACAGTCACCAAAGTTTACAGTTGGGGAAGTTGGTAGCCGAATGGTCCCATCACTTACCTGAAGTGTTGTAACTAGTTAGTGGCAGGGCTGGACGAGAGCCCACCTCCGGTGCTCAGGTAGCTCCCTGGATGTGCAGACACTCAGTGCAGGGCTTTCCTGTGTCTTTAGGCATGGGGAGAGGGCCCTGGAAGCGGTGCTAAAACCTCAGCCTTTGTAAAGAAGACCCATTCGTTTGGTTGTTCAACAGCTGTTACGCGCCAGGCACCTTTCTAGGTATTTTGGAAAAACATAAAAAATCTCTGCTTCAGGGGGCTGTTTTTCTAACATACAAAGTGCCTTCTCTATGATTTATCCATTTGTTAAGCTTACGTTTTCATACATTAGTATTGCTTAACTGCAGCGTATTGGTCATGAATGCTGGTTGCATGACCTGAATTGTTTCAATGAAATAATTATTCCACAAGGGTAGGAAACTTTTCTGGCTACCACCATTAACTGGAAAACATTTATTAACTTGTAAATTAGTGATGGATTTGCAATCAATTTCTTAATTTTTCTCCTTAGATTATATTAGATTAGATTTTAGATTATCATGATAAATACATTTTTATGTGAAAGAAATGTGGGAGTCCTTGTTACCTGCAGGATGCTTTAAGATAAAAAGCAAACACTTAAATTGGAGAACTCCCTGTTCTAAATGTCAGTCTTAAATTAAGAAAATTATTTTTCTCTCCTCATATTTAAATTTTTAAATCTGCCTTTTCTTTAACGTGGCACAATATTTTTATGATAATTTAATTATAAAATACATTACTGATTTCTGTTTTCGTTTGTTTTCTTTGAATTCCTAGAGACACAGTTTCTGATAGAGAAAATTATATTAGGTAATAGAAAACCTTACAGGATAATAGGTTGCATTCATCACATACTTACCCTGAATCTTCATGGCTATCATTTACTGTATTACCATTCGTGTAGTTATCTGCATTCATTAGTTAGCATTTTATGGTTTTCAGGTGGACAAGACATGACTTTAACAAGAATTAAAAGAAGTAGGGCTTATTCTTTTGAGAATTATTATTTTCCTACTTGGTATGTAGGAATTTGTTAAACCAGCGTATTTAGATTTATTGTGCAGATGCGGATAATGTCTGCGTAACAGTCTGTGCAAGTGATAAATACCTGAGTTTCAGGCAATGTTCATACCCAGAATATGTTTCTCTGTATACATCTGTCCCATTATGTAAATAGATACATACGTCTGTGTATATGTATTTTAACAGCTAAATTTTTTGAGTTTATATTTCCAACCATTTGCAACCCAGTATTTATTGTAATTTAATTTTTTGCTTTTGCTTGTATTTCTTCTATAATTGAAATTTGACAGCTTTAGATTCACATAGACACTAACCAAAGAGGTAAATTTTGGGCCCTTTGGCAATTCTTTTCCTTGCTACTTTCCACGCTTACTTTTTTTCCCTATAGCTGCCAGAATGCATGTTTTCTTGCAATACTAATTTTACTTCTTTGAGCTGAAAGTTATAGGATAGCCAACTTGTGGTCAGCAGCTTATTTATAAAAGCAGACCATGGTACATTCAAATTGAAATTGTCATCTAATTCCAGATCTGAATTATTTCTTTAATTTCATAGTGTTAGCAAACACATACACGTGAAATACAACAACAGCAGGACATTTTTTATGAGGGTCTAGGTGTTCCTGCCTCCTATGTGCAGGAGTGTATATAGACCTCTGGGGGGATTGGGACTGGAAAACGGAAAAAGCAGTCGGGGGAGAGTATCGACCCCACCATCTTCTCTGTCTGTCTCACCTGGTCTCTTCTCTCTGCGTGTTTGTTCACTGTGCATTCTGTAGATCGGCTTTCTCAGCAACTCCTTCCCTTCAGTGAGCTTGCAGACCCTCAGTTCAAACAACCGCTAGAAATGGACCACATATGCATATGGCCACTCTTTTCTTTGGATTCTTTTCCCATATAGGCCATTACAGAGTACTGAGTAGAGTTCCCTGTGCTACACAGTAAGTCCTTATTAGTTATCTGTTTTACGTAGAGTAGTGTGTATATGTCAGTCCCACCTGAAACTAACACAACATTGTAAATCAACTATACTCCAAAAAAAATTTTTTTACTTAAATTTAAAGAGAAGAGAGAAATTGACCACAATTCCCAAATCCATTTTCTTGAGGAAGGACATAATCAGCCCACGTGGATCAGGCATCAATCCTGGGCTCCGTCGACTCTAACCAGAGAGGCGAGGAGAGGACCACGTTACCACAGACACTGGGTTGGTGGTGGGTGCGAACAGGGAAAGCAGTTCTCAGAGTAGGGGTTTTAAGGGGTGTGACAGTATCTCAGAGGATTTCTCTGTTTCTAATTGCCTTATAATGCTATTTGCCAAGAAGTCATCTTTGCAAAAGAAAAGAAAAATCTGTATTTTTGAGTGGTTAGAGGCTGGATCTTTGTCCTACAAATCTGAAGCTTGGTAAGTTTAAGGTCAGCCTACCCTGATGGGCTGCTGTGGCCTCCGTTCTCGCGGGAGAGTTGAGCCATTTACACCAAGAAAAGGACCTCAGCAGAAATAAGCTTCAGATGCAATATTTGCACTTTGGGCAAAGAGATCAAGAGGGATCAGGCATAGTCTACTGCCTTTTCTTTGTGGTCTGGTATTGAGAAGCTTCCTTGGTTCACTTTTTGGAGATAATCCAATCTCGTTGATTTAATCAAAATAAGATCCGGTATCCTGTGGAGCAGACAGAAAGTTGATGCTAGAACCATGTGCTTGTTGTTCTATGGTGATTCCCAAATCAGTATGTTCTCTCACTCCTATCTCCACAAGTTGTAATGATATTAGGATCTGAGCACATTAAGATTTTCAATTAAATATGGAAGCAGTTCTGGGAATAGTTGGATGCAGTTAAAGGAAGAACCTAGATATCAATAAATACGTCAGAGACACTGATGTTTATTTGTTTATATTCTCCCTATTTCCAAAAATAAATTGGTATCTTACAAAGAATCATAGAATAAAGAATTAAAATTCATTTAATTTAGGGAAGATTCACGGCAGAGAGAAAGTAAGTATAGTAAGAAGCTAAGGCCCCGTCCCGTGCTTAGCAGCCAAAATGAAAAAACACAGCTACCATGATTCATAGTGCACAGAGATTTAGAAAGCTGTTCAGGAGATTGATCACCATCTCAGGACATGGTGCTGGCTGCACACAGTCCCGAGGATGCACCTGGCAAGGATCCCCGTGTCAGGAGAGGGAAGGTCGGTTTTCTTTATTTCGTCTCTCTCATGCAGTCTCGTGATCTGAAGCACTCAGGCTCATCAGAACCTTCCTCAGAGACACCACAGCTTCCTCGCTGGGGCCTCAGCTTTCACATGAGTGTTGAACTGCTTAAAAAGATGCAAAGGTTACAAGCAGAAATAAGCCTAGAATACACTCTTTCCTTCGTTCTATAGCATCTCTCTCGTGTCAGTACTGGCTTCTCCGGAAGGAACCACGTCCTGGGCCGTGTCTTATATTTGTTCACGTGACCAGATTATTATTATTATTTTTTTTTTGCGGTACGCGGGCCTCTCATTGCTGCAGCCTCTACCGTTGCGGAGCACAGGCTCCAGACGCGCAGGCTCAGCGGCCATGGCTCACGGGCCCAGCCGCTCCGCGACATGTGGGATCTTCCCGGACCGGGGCACGAACCCGTGTCCCCTGCATCGGCAGGCAGACTCTCAACCACTGCGCTACCAGGGAAGCCCCAGATTCTCTTAAAAGACTTGCTTGGTGGTAAATTCAGTTACCTGAAAGCAAGATTCTGTAGATACCTATGGGATTTGGTGATCCAGATAATTTTGATGTTCTTACTACTATTTTCTAAACCTCAATTGTTATAGAGTTGAGATAACATTAAAGTGCACTGCAGCAGCCTTGGAAAACACAAGGAAAAGAGACAGTTCCTTGATTAACAGTCTGTGTGTGTTTGTGTGTACTATAGGATTAATTTAAAACTCCCAACAATCCAAACAGAGTGGGAACTGTTACCCCCATTTTTCAGATTTAGAAACGGGGGAGCAGTGGGGTTAAGAAATGTGCCCAGAGTTCTACAGTAAAAGTAGCAGAGTAGGGATTGAAAAGCAGACAGACGGACTGATTCTGGAACGTTAAGTCCCTGGCCACTGCTCTCATGCTTTGCTTTGAGAGGCGTGCTCTTGGAGGAGGGGCTGTTAGAGGCAGGGGTATGGACTTTACAGCCAGAGAGTGTTGACTTGGAGGAGGCTGCTGGCATCTAGCATGAAGCCAAACACACCATCTCTAAGCCTCAATTTCTAC